CCAGAACAGCTCAACAGTCAAATACTGTAATCTTTCATGAAAAATAGCATCATACTTGACCTTGACAATGATCATAATCATCTGATGTGAGAATTGAGGGCGATCGGGTCGATAGGCAACAGGGACCAGGACATATCCCTAGTGGTGCAAGCGCCAAACTCCCTCACTCTCCATTACGAGACCCATTTATGGGGCTCATTTGTTGGGACGGACCAGTTTCAGGATAGAATCATCAAAGAGCCCAAAGGGATATCATTCTCGATATCTCCTCTCACAGTCATCCGCCAACAAGCTGTGATTCTCATTATGTGTCACTTTACTGTTGCCAGTCTCTGAGTCTGAGGAGTCATTTGATAGTCTTGTAAACCAGACTCAATGACATGTGAACAAGAATCATTCCCTGTGTAGAATCTGGATTTGATGACAGGTTCATGATGTATTGTCAGGGTTTAAAAGTATAAGCGGTACTCACCACGCCAAAAAAAAATCTGTGATGGTCAGCAAGGCACGGCATCGGTCACATCATTATCACGTGTTCGTCCTCATGTCCATTTCTTTTCATCCAGGTTCCTGGTGGCACATTAATGAAGTCTCTTTCTGGTATGCCTCTGACACTATAGGGATAGTGTTACATATCAACTATAGGGTGCAAGATGGTCTGTTGACATTGGACAAGAGCTTGTCAAGGCAAAACATGACCCAACTGACCACTGCCGAGCCCTGCCGAACATCTGAGTTTCTTTAAAGTGGCCCCGAATTTTGCAGTTAGCTGTCATGACTCATACACATCACAATCCAGTCGCTGATGGATGGAAATTGCACTAGTGCTGGCCAGGTGCTGGCCGTCATTTCTTTGTAAACAATACATGACAGAGACTGATGGACTTTTTTGGTCTTGCCTTTATCCCACTGGTGAATATTTTCTTGGACACTTGATCTCCGAGAGCTGCTTCCAGCTATCTGCGAAATTCGGCGCCACTCCAAAAAATAGGTGTGATGATCGGCAAGGCACGGCATCAACCACATTACCACATGTTCCTCCTTCGTTTCCATTTCTTTTCGCCTAGGCTGCACAATGAAGTCCCTGATATGTCTCTGACACTATGATTACATATAGTGGCACATATTGACCATAGGGCACCAGATGGACCATTTACAAGAGCTTGTCAAACAGGTCCGCTCCCGAGCCCTGCCGAACATCAGAGTTTTTTTTAGAGCGGCCTCGAATTTAGCAGTTAGCTGTCACTGCGGCTGGCGCCCCAGCGCAACCCACAGGTCGGCTGACTTCAATTTCACAAACCTCTCTATAGAAAGTTCTATCTATCCATCTATCCGGAAAACTACCGTGGCAGGTTGCCTTTGCGTAATGATGGTGGATCATTTCAGCACAATGGGAATTGTCATTACACGGCGCGTGCATTGACTGGATGGCTGGATGCACTCTTCCAAAATCCTCCTTGACATGAGAAAATTTTGCAGTCCAGCATCCCTGTGAGTTTGCTTTCCCACCACAACTATCGGTTTCAGCTCTGCTATAAAGACCAGGTCATGTCACTCAGAACAGGATCTTCAGAAGATGAAAGCCTCCATTTTATCCGTAGCTCTCGTCATTGCCGGTGCAAGTGCACAAGATCCCGCTCACCCGTGGATTGCTCCTAAGTCTACAGACTTGCGTAGTCCTTGCCCAGCCTTGAACACGTACGACTTCCTCCAAAGCGATATCTAAGCCAGTGCTAAAATTGTTTGACAGCCTAGCAAATCACGGTTTCTTGCCCAGAGATGGCAGAAATCTGACACCCGATATAGTAATCCAAGCTTCGCAAGGTATGCACCGTTAACTGCTCGGGATACATGATTCAGCTAACTGGCTATCACAGACGGTTTCAATGTTGCAGCAGATGTTCTCTTTTTCCCGGCGAGACAAAGTTTGACGACAGGCACTACCCTTGAGACCTTCACACTGGATGATATAAAACTGTATGAAGCATTTTTATTCCCTTCAGTCTCTGTTGATGTTCTTGATAGTCACAACAACATCGAGCACGACGCGTCTCTTTCTCGTGGTGATTTTGCTCTTGGGGATAATCTCCATTTCAACGAGACTATCTATCAGACACTGGCAAACTCGAATCCTGGGGTCGACTTTTTCAACGCCACTTCAGCTGGCCAAGTCCAAAAGGAACGACTTGCAATCTCTCAAGCCACCAACCCGAACAACATTAACACCTCCAAGGAATTCGGAGCTAGAACTGGGGTGAGTCACAGGACTAGCTCTTTGGATTCAGTGTGACTAATGTTGAGAAGCAATCCGCATTGTATCTTTCCGTCTTCGGCGACCCAATCACTGGTGTGGCACCAAAAGAGTCAGTAAGGTATTGCAAATTCGAAGCCTTGGGTTCTGACATCCAGACAGGTTTGTTAACATATTCTTCCGGGAGGAGCGTATGCCCATCGAAGAAGGCTGGAAGCGCCCCAATGTCTCCATCAATCGCGCCACTGCAGGCCCCCTCACCGCTATCATTTCCCAGGCATCAGAGTGGAGTCCCAATCCTAATCAGATTCCTTCTGTTACCTTGGTCACCGATAGCGCGGGCGATGTAATGACATTTTGATTGACTTTTCTTACTATTTGGGAAGAAGATTGTATGTTTGTAAGTATTCTGGTTTCATGATGGATAGATTCATAGCTATTCCCATAAAATATTTGTTTGATCGAGAGGGTCCACATAACCCGCAGCATTGATGCTGACTCATAAGACAATAGCGGGGTCCTACATCAACGAGGCAGTGATCACAAATTATGATCCCACTTCTGGGCTTGTTTGTTGGGTGGGAGCACTTTTCCGACCAGTGCCAAGACCGCCCTCAATGGGCTAATCACCTGATGGCTTCTCCCACTGGCATGGCAGCGGCCGGTATGAGCGATATTGTGCTTTCCGCACTTGGTATGCACTTTGGAGAGTTATCGGGAAGTGATGCAAGTTCCTGATAGACCCGTAACAGCTCCCTCATCTCAAAAGCTTGATGGAGGATCTGTGAATCAGAACAAATATTTGGCGTTGGTCTATACATGTGAAAAATTCCCCTATGCCAAAAACCGGCGGCATAACGAGACTACGCACGCGGTTTTGGTCAGTTTATTCAACCGTACATTCCAGCGCAGCATGTCTCATTTAAAATCCTCGTTGAGCTTATCTGTGTTTGCTCTAGGTTGAATGAGTTTCAGTCAAGTCCTCATCCACTTTTATCCAAAAAGGAGCAGTTAAATCTTCAGAGTGGCGTAAACTCTAGCCAAACCAGTAAGATGTGAGGTCCAGGGACGGCCAAGGCGCCTGAAATTAAATCAGACCTTTTTCCTGACTGAGTGAATGCTAGATGCGTGCTTCATGACTCAGGCGGGTCAGGTCGAAAATGTCAAAGTCAAAAATCAATTCTGATTTACCAGGCCTTCTGTCGAGGTTTTGACGAGACTCCTGGTAACTAGGCTAGGTTCCTAAGTGCACAGATACTCAAATATACTGACTCTTTGCATGGTGGCCTTATCTCGGCCGTTCCTCTCAAATGCAAGGTCCTCCAGCAGGGACATAAACTAGTTTCAGCAACTTGAATATGAAGTCCCATCCTTGGTAACCTGGTATGTCAATTTGATGTCCCAGAAAGCTGTAACTCACCCTTTCTGCCAGGGCTGGTTCTGGGGAGCAAGTCATGTCCCTGGCTGATCATTTGATTGCTGCTCTCAATAAACTACAGCTCAGACAATCAAGCATCAAGATTCTGCTAAATCCATATAATGGTTCTGGTGTCAGGATTCATCAATGATTGCGAAGACAGTTATGGGAGCACTATAGAACTTCAAGAAGAGAGCTAGACCTATTGGGGTAATACTATGGAGGTAATAGACTGCCAAAATTATTGCCATTTTTCATATTTAAATCATGCTAGGTTAGGTTGGTGTAGAGCATCGCATAATTTCCACCTGCGAGTACTCCGTACTCAAACCTGCGGATTTTCAAGCTGAAAATGTCACATTTGTACTCGAGAATCTAGAATCTGTGAGTAGCGAGTACATCCGTGAATACTAGGAAATCCGTAAATACTTGTGGATATCCATACAAATATCCATGAATATCTTTGAATAACAATGCAATCATACCAAAGAGAAAGATAAGATAAAGTATTGGACTAATCTGACTAGCAGTCCAACAAGCAGGGCATCTCGTTGTCATTGCTGGCATAGGCATCAACGGGATCCAAGTCACAGACAGCCTCTAACCCTGGCATATTGTCTTCATTGCTGACATGGGCATCAGCACTGACATGTATGCCCTTGAGTATTTTGACGGATATCCAGGCAAATATCTGTATTGATACTCATGCAGATATCTGACATTTTATTATTATCCACACTTAAGATCCGTACTCGTACGGATTTGATCCATCAAAATTTGTACTCACGGATGTGGAAAATCCATGGATTTTCTCATGAGTGGATTTGCGGATATCCACAGATCGCCGCTAATCGTGTGATGCTCTAGGTTGGTGCAAGGTTTAAAATCATGCTGCTTACCAATCCAACAAGTTTCTATGACCAAGTCCATTGAGCAAGCCTGATATGATGTGGAACCTAGCACAAAAGGCCAAACCTAGCATATTTGGAACACTGTGAAACCTAACATCAATTTGAGGAGAATATCGAACCTAGCACAATTTAGACAACCCTGCAAACCTAGCATGATTTTGAAACCTAGCATCAGTTTGTGGACAATATCAAACCTAGCACAATTTAGACAACCTTGAAAACCTAGCATGATTTAAATATGAAAAATGGCAATAATTTCGGTAGTCTATTACCCCCATACAGACCTATGGTTTCAGCACACACCGGACCAAATGGGGCCCATTGTGATGCCCCCATCTTCAGAGCTGGTATCACAACTTGAAATGGTCATTCAATGAAACACATGTTCCTGTTCCAGTCAAACAAACAACTCAAAAAGGTTTGGTGCTAGAGGGATTCAAACCCCTGGCCTTCAGTCTTCATGAGTGAATCAGAGTGATGCTCTACCAATTGAGCTACAGTGCCCATGCTGGGAGGCGCAACTTGTACTTTATATAACCATAAGTTGTCATCTGACATGCACGCTGCAGGTGTATCCACACTGCCTTAGGGAAATCCCTGCCTTATAGGTTTTTCAGGCACAGATGCTGACCAAGCATATCATTGACTCGCCTCTGATCATTTTGGGCTTTGCAGACCAGTTGGATAGAGGCCAACCATTCCAGTTGCAGCTATAAGTCACCTGTTTCTTTCAGTTTCAATGGAATAGCAGAAAACTTTTAAATCTGACATTTTACCTGAAATACAATGTAATAACAAGTCTACTGATTGATACCTGAGTTTGCGACACTGAGACATACCCAGGACCATACACTCCCCTGACAGGGCCTAAAAATATCATTCAACAGCTAGATTACAGCTCTGAACCAACCAGAAGTAATATAATACAAGCCAACCAAGATGGAATAGAAGGAGAATCACTAAAGAAATGGGTTAGCTGAATTCAACAAAGGAGTATCCTTCCTCCAATGCAAGGTCATGCAACCATGACAAGTCATGACATACCAGCCATACCCTGGTATCATGATCCATTATCCATTGAATCATCCAAAAGACTTTCCCTCAACAGAGACAGGGAGAGGAAATATTTGACCACTTGGTTGGTCCATCATCAAGAGAGGGATTAACGGAGGTGTCAAAAATCATGGTATCAAAAACATAACAAGATGATCCTGTGGCAAGCTGGAAACCTGACTGACCTTGTATAATTGAAGTTTTGTGGAGGAGTTTGAGAAACTGAGACCTGTCACTAGGTTCAACGCATAGAAAGCAAAACCTACGGGCAAGGAACCTCCATGTTACTTACATCAGCAACAAGGTCATGGAACTTTTCACTGCTTCTTGCCAACTAGCGCAAACACAGTTTTTGCCTTTCCGCCATTGCACGTGCCTCCCGAAAAGGAAATTGATCGCGTGACTTGTTGAACCACAAACAGTTTTTGATTTTCCGCCCGTCCACGTGCTTCCCGATCAGGGAAGAAATCAGGTGACCTCAAAATCAACAAACCAGTTCGATGACGTGAGAGATTGTGTGACCTGGGCCCTTACCTATTATGAATACACAGCCTGTTCCTAAAGCCTCCATGGTTCAGTGGTTTAGCGTGCTGTAATTGTTGATGACTCTCATGTTTGTTGGGTGTTCGAGACTGGCTGATTCCTTCTTTTTGAAGGGCTTGACGATGGTCCCTCTCCATATATGTCAAAAGCCGGAACGAGTCTTTAGCGTGCCCGCCCGAGACTCCCCGGCTCGGGGGACCCCCCGAGCTTGCGAGGGAGGGGAGGGGAGCGAGTGGCGGGTACTCTTCCGGCAACCTTGGAGAGACCTGAGTTTAACAGAAGTTCTGTATATAATTATTTATTCATTTCAAAAAGAACAGAGACAACTCTAGACAACTAGCAGAATATTTTTGAAAAATGACTTTTTATCGTTGATTTAGTGGACCCGAGCCGAAGACGAACTGGTTTGGTCAGCACATGACTTATTTCCAAATCGGGCGGCACGTGGACGGGCGGAAAACTCCCATCTACCACAAACCAGTTTGCTGACGATGTCAGATACTAGCCGATGCCGGGAGCTCTTACCTATTGTGGTGACACACCCCATTTCTAAAGTGACCATGGTCTTGTCTAGTGAATAACGTGTCCCATTCTTTCGTATTACAGCCTCACTGTTTGAATCTGGCATAGCTCATATTTTTGGAGAGTCCCGCCACTGCCATCCTCCTCATATGTTAAAAAAGCAGGAATGAGTCTTTAGTGTGCCCGCCAGAGACTCCCCAGCTCTCGGGGGATCACCCGAGCTTGCGAGGGAGAGGAGGGGAGCGAGTGGCGGGTACTCTTCCCATGACCATCAAAAGACCTTGTCTCGCAGCTCCAATCTAATATATATATAATTCCCTCCAGATTAACTTGATATAGGTTGTGAAGATAGCTAAAACACCCTTATGATAATAAAAAAAGGGCTTGTCAAACTGATTCATATCCTCACGTGTGCAGTTTCCTTTTGGGGAGCCACGTGCAATGGCAGAAGACTCTCATCTCGCAAAAACAGGCTAACTGGTCATGCGTGTGTATGGTTAACCCAGTTACCGGTCATGTGCACCTTCCTTTTTCGGAAATTATTTCCACGGCTCTTTTTTCTAATGTCCTCGCTCAGTGCTTGCCGTTAACACCTTGTTTGGACATTGAGCTTCAATTCTGTGACCTAGAGAGCTGGTGTAACAACCTGACAGGGCATAAAGCAATGTTCCTTGGTCATTTAGCCATACTCTGCTACATATACATGACCTCCTCTCGCATGTTGGGATGGAATTTTGGCTTCTAAGCCACTTTAGAGGATAGCAGAGATGATTGGAAGTCAATACTATTGATGTGCATCCCAAAGAGCAATGAGACTGCTATGGTTAGAAAAAAGATGCAAATGTGGCGCAAAGCCCAGCACCGCAGGCCTGAAAAATGCAAATTTCATGGAAGAAAAGCTCCCTAAACATATAGATCTGGTTGGAATAATTCTTCAATGTTGGAAACCACCATAAAATCAAGGCTCACCTGCTGAATATGCCGGACATGAAAATATACTGTAACAGCAGAATGGGGTGAACATCTGGGATACATGGTTCCATTATGGTCTCTTGAAATACCCTCAGAGGCAGGGAGGATATTTCCACAAGCTACAACTATTTGGCAACTATAGCAGTGTTAAAAAGCACCAGACTTGGTGTGACCGCCGAACATCACATATGTGGCGCACAACTTAGTGCTGCAGGCTCGGAAAAATTGTACATTTACAATGTTTAATAGCATCAAGCTTGCATTTCCATTTTATATTGTCATCAGCTTCCAATCAAACCAGTTTGAGTGGATAAAGCATGTACTCCACAGGAGGCGGTCAAAAACTCGATAAGTGAGGGGAGCCAAAGAGTCAAACAGGCCTCAAATCTCATTGGTGTCCATTCAAACCACTGAATAGAAGCTATATCAGCCATTATCTGACTCTATTTCCTCAAGATAGCGCAAATGAAGCGATACTATATCATGTAATAAATCCCACGTACACTGCTGAACTCACCGTCAAAATTCATCATTTTATTACTCATCCCTCCTGGTAAGTCCCTCAAGTCTTAGCTTAATCACATCTTGATTATCTTGATTATACACAGGGTTAACCAGTTAGTCCAAAAACACACAGAAACACGTGAAACGCGGAGTTATCACAATATGGGAAATTGATGTCATCATACCCTACAAGCAGAGCTACCAAAAATCTAACGTGCAATCTGTTGACTCCAGCAAGACTTGGATCACTCCCCCTAAGTTCTGAACATCATTCTCTACCCAAGTTATGGGACCATGTGAGTGGCTTGTTTGTTGGGAGTGAGCAAAATTCAGGAGAGCCACATCAGAGAACCTAGTGGGGATATCCGGCCAGGCACGTGCACCGATCACGTAGAGCTCACTTCGGCAGCTGACTAGTGACTCTGGGCGGGCGCTGTGAGGAGTGTACCACAGGTACACGACGAGCAGCATGCAATTTCTCACCCCTCCTCATTTTGACTGATCAAACAATTTGGTGAACAGAGCAAAACAATTGGGGGCTCGTACTTGCCGCTTGTCAGCCTCTATTTCACTGGTAAGTATTATTCAAGACAAGCAGCAAAGATTCGCAGATATGTGTCCATTATAATCCATGTGAGAAGTATACAATAAGATGAATAAATTAATTGAATATTGCCTTGTAATTATCTAAAAGTGTATCTGCCATGGACCACAGTCCCAGTGTCCTTTTCCAACTGCCCTTGTCAAATGTCGCTTTCTTTGGACGACCCCCGGCTCAGCTTCTCGACTTCAAGCTCAAAAGCTTACTCATCAGTCAGTTATTAATTTCCACGCGTACAAAAAGGCCATTATTTGATTGCCGATAGCAACAGTGGGCCATCCGAGGTTGCTCTGTTACCTAAAGATACCCTCTCTCATCCTTCGGAGAGTTCGGAGACTTGTTCATCAATGTCAGAATGCAATTCGCCTGGCTAGCGAGGCTAGATTCGAGTTCTCCCGTGTTTCGCATTAGCTGATGCCGAGAGCCGTGGGAGCCAGGAGTAGGCTGTAGAAGACCGTAGAAGGCTGTAGACCTTGAGACCAAGTAACACCGATATAATCAGCATCTCGATTGTCGCTCCTCATTTCCAGACTGCTCTCAGCGTTCACTGCAGCCATGTCAAGCTTCCAGGAAGATATTCACTCGGCCGTGCTGGGATTTGTCCCTTTTGTCGTGTGTGATTTGTCTCTTGATTTCAACGTGGCTCATATGATGGTTTTATAAGATAGAGTGCATCTTCTACAGTGTCTACTCCATCCTCTTCTCGCTCTGCATTTATGTCCTGTGGAGAAGGCGGGAAATGCAGCACCGGTGGCTGCATTTCACATTCATCGTCGCACTTTACTATTCTTTAGCGACAGTTCATATGGTGCTGATGGCCACTTTGGCCTTTGAATTCGATGAGATCTTGCTAGGATATTCCGCATTTATCCAATCTCTTAGTTGGGACCATTTCTTCCACCCTCCAACGGTTCTGGCTCTCAGCCTGGCGCTCAAGGTTCTTTTCCTCGTTTCCAAGTACGTCTAATCGTCCTTGATCATCCGATATGAAATGATTGATCATGTCAGTCTGCTTGTGGACACCATTCTAGTACGTGTTTTCCAGTCTGTATTGACAATACCTCAAGTTTTTGTCAGATATATCGTTGTTATCTGGTTTGGGGCACCAACAGCCACGTTATTATCTTGCCCGCATTGGGATATCTTTGCACAATAGGTCAGCTCAATGGACTAAGCATATTTCATAAACCTTTACCACTTGAGCAGTCTTTTGGAAGCAGACGAACGAAGTATGAAGGCAGGAGCTGAGCAATAGATATTTATTAATAGTGAAGATTAAACTTGGAGTCTTTGCACAATGAATACTATT